TTGAACAAATAACAGATCAAGATGAACGTCGTCAAAATGATTTTATTCGACGTATGCTTCGTGTTACTGTCATGTTAAATACAATGGCAACGATGCGCAAACGTAAATACATTTCAGAAGATTCTACAACAAAAACTGAGGTACTCATCCAACCTCCATCTTCTCTTGTTACTATTCTGTACAATCATCAATCAAAATTAACTCAAAATGGTCAAAGATTCACATCACCATTTAGTTCCACCAACGTGCGTGTATTAAATGAAGATTGTCTTGTTTCATATAACACACTTGTTTCGTCTGGTATGAAGCCACTTCTTCTTAACATGGCCAATGTAACAACACCCGGTGGAGGTTATCGAAAAGGTGAGGGTGCTCAAGAAGAAAATCTTTTTCGCCGTTCTAATTACTACATGAGTCTTGATTATAATATGGATCAAGAACAAGATCAATCTATCAACAGTAAAAGAAATTATTGCTCATCTACAGGACAAGTATTAGCCTTGAATGTCCATCAATCATTGTATCCAATGGATGAATATGGGGCTATTTATACATCAGGAATCACAGTATTTCGTGGTACTGAAGATCAAGGTTATCCTTTTTTAAAGCGACCACTATACGATGTTTGTGGAGTAGCAATTGCTGCATATCGCGATCCATCTTTACACAAAAACAAACAACGACTCATCCATAAACTTGCCGTTGGAACTCGAAAGAAAATCGAAACTTTATTTGCTATTGCTTATAATGGCTCTTAGTTAGAAAATCAAAAATTCGAAATTCTCTATTCTTGATAATAATGTTTTTTGAGAAAATAGAAATTCGACAACAAATTCATATAGACTTTCCGAGAAAACCTTCTTCTGTTTTCTAAAGGTTATTTTTCTAATTTCCAGGGGAACATATGTGTTGTGCGTATCTTCCCAACTGAGATACTTTTTTAATTAGGTATCTCAGTTGAGAAAAAGAAAACTATAAGCAAAACCACGTTTCCCAACTGAGATACACTTAATAAAGTATGAACTAATAAACCCTGATTCATTTCCTAACTGCGATACAATTTCTGTGACGGTAGTATGCGCATGTATTGTTCACATAAATTGAAAATCGTTTTGTACATCATACTCTACACGAACACTATCGCATCGAAATTTGTTGAAAATATTCTTATGAATTTTGTTCGTAAAAAAACTCAAAGAGGTGCACCAGTAATATTATAAAAAGAGAATTTATATCGTTGTCAGCGTCACAATCATAATGGTAGTGAGCGTTGGGAATGTACAGTTAATAATTATGGATGTTCTATTATTATACAAAATGATAAAATCACATTTGTAAATAGCATATATGGCTATGAGAATACACATAGATCAAGTGTTTGGCACACTGAAACGTAAAGTTGTTAAAGATCCCAAAACACCCATTGAACAATTATACACACTTATAAGTATTGATAGACATAAGATGTGAAGTGCACCACTCCTCGATAGAATTCAACATTTATTGAGGATAATTGACTCTAGTCTCAATAAATCCATGTGGGAATATTTGAAGAAGAAAGTTATCGTTACTGTTGTAATTGATCGCCAGTCATCCTTCATGCGAAAATGCTATGAACTTAGACAAACCACCAGTGACTGGCATAATGTCTG